CAGGTTGTGATTCTAGCTCTAGTTGGTGGATGGGGCAGGTTCTCTGTTTTCCTTGGCTCAGAGCTTCCTCAGATGCAGGAATTGAGAAGTACAACTGCAGTGTCCTCTTCCAAATGACAGGGGCAGGGGAAATCACCCAGGCTTTTTCTGCTCTGAGCCCCACAACTGGTCTTTGTATAAGAGGGAAGTGAAATACAGAGGTAGCTGCTGCAACAAGCCAATAGATGAAAAGGCCAGCACCCTGAGAGATTCCTTACGGTGGGAACAGGGAAGCCAGATGGCTGAGAATGTCCAATGCTTGTCTACCAAAGCTGAAGGAAAGCCTGGGTTGAGTCCGCTAAAAAGTCCTGCCTTCTGTCAGCTGGGCTCTCACTGACTTTGGTGAGAGGTTTATTCATTTCTCAACATGTATTCCAAAGGACCCATTGTGCGCTACATACTGCCACTGGGGGACTCACAGAGACACCTCAGTGCTTCTCTGTACCCTTCCAAGGAACAACTCTGAAGCAGCCACGGCACCAGGTTTACACAAGAGCAAATGGCGCCTCTGAAATTCCAGTGATGGCCAGCAAGAGGCTCTCTGCACTGCTTGGATTCCAGCCATTCGGAACCCTTCCTTTCCCTCTTGGTGGCCACAGAAGGTGCTCAGTGCTGGACTTACCTCCTGGGGCAGCAGCAGTCCTACAGTCCTTCCCCTACATCCCCAGCCCCCGAGTGCCCTCCTACGTCCCAGCAGTTGACCTCTCCTTTATGGGCAGACCTCACTTTCCCCTGAGCTACTTCCCTGGCACTGGGCTGTGGGCTCGCTCTCTCCAGTGCCTTCCACAACCTCCGCTTCCCCCCAGGGAAGGCAGATGTCAGACTTTTGCTTTCCCCGTACTTGCTCTTGACGGTCTCTGGCCTTCACACACCCCCAGCTCCCCTTGTCTGGCTCTGCCATCCTCTCCACTTCTCTGCTTACCAAACACGCCTGGGAGGTGGGGCTGGGGGGAATCTCCCGAGAAAGCCTCCCTTCAGTGCTCCCACCTACTCCAGACACTCTGGATTATCTATAACTGGCACACGTCTGGAGCCAGCTCGCTATCTTGCTCATCACTTTCTACTTTATCCCTTGTGATTTGGCTCCGCAACCATCCTTCACAGACTCTTCTCAGTCTGTCAGCAGCCTTTTCCTTCCATCCCTGTGGGTATTGGCTCTTCTCAGACTTTCCTGCCTGTCTACCTGCCTGCCTGCCTCCCTCAGGGGCTTCTCTGGTTGGCTCGTCCCATCTCTGAAATATAACCTGTCCTACTTGGTACTGTGGGGACACTTTTATTTTTATTTTATTTTATTTCTTTTTTTTGAGACAGGGTCTTGCTGTGTATTCCAGGCTGGTCTTGAACTCACAGCGACCCTCTTCCCTGAGCCTCCAGAGTGCTGGGATTACAGGTGTGTGCTACCGTGCCCAGCTGTGGGGACACTTGTGAAGACAGAAAAAGAGGTTACAACTGTTGAGTTCCAAGTTTGTACTCTTAAAGAGATGCACTTTCTCTCTGAGTTTGGTACAGATCTTTCATGGGCTCATCTTCCTTGAGATTTCTTCCCTTGTGGTTGCACTGGGATGGGCCTGGGGCCACATTTGGATGGGGATGTTCCCCACAGTCATGGTCTGAGTCACTGAAGCCCATGCAATCCAGGCCAAGGAAGTACCCCTAGCTCTGTGTAATCTTGTCTGGCCCATGAGGCCTGAAGCTTCCAAGGCAGCATTCAGATAATACCCTCAAGTACAATGAGCCTGGGGTTTTTCCTTCCTCTCTCTTCCTTTCTAACCCGGGGAAGCTGATGGTCAACTGTTCCAGGGTTATCTCATGGATATGACAAGGTCCTAGAGTGACAGGCCGAAGGCAGCCTGACAGGCCTGCTCACAGAAGCCTGCAAGAGCAGAGAGGGGCTTACAGGAAAATGGTTCAGCACCTCCCAAAGAGCAGCAGAGTCACAGAAGAGGAAGTGGACCTTGAGCTGGATCTTGAAGAATGATCGTTTATCAGGATGATGAGGAAAGTAGGAGATTCTAGGAGCCAATCCCTACCACTGCCAACCAAGGAAAATAGCTTTGTAAAGGCAGAAATCATGGCAGATCAGGAGGTCTATGCCTCATGTCTGTGTGTGTGTGAATGTGTGTGTGTGTGTGTTTGGGTGACAGAGATCTGAAGAGTGCACAGAATTTGGAATTTATCCCCGGGAAGCCACTGATATAATGAGGAGTGAGAAAGAGGAGTCTCCAAGGATCTCTCCAGGTTCCTGGCTCATCAAATGTTAAATCCCTAAACTCCCTACTTTAGTCCGCTGTGTACTGGTGCACATAACCTGCACGACCTTTGTTTCTGCGGTCCAACTTGGACTAAAGTCCACACTTGGAGTTCCTTCCTGACAAGTCTTTCACCTCTTCTTAGCAGTTGCCTCCCCCAGCTCAGACCTTCATTGTCTCCCGCACCATCTTACTGCAAGAATCTTCTCACTGGGCTCAACTTCTAACTCTCTCTGCAAGAGCAAAGTGCATACCTGACCCTGGCAGTCCCTTGCATCATCCTACTGTCTGGAAAAACTAGGTGCCTCCAATCCTTAGCTCAGCCTTTTGCCCCATGGAGCCCCAAAGGGTTTAGTCCTAACTCAGGACCAACCTTTCAGCGCACATCTCTTCTCCCTAGGACCTCTTCCCAAAGGATGTCAGAGCCTCTTAGTTGAAAGTAACTGTTGCTAGCCAGGTGCAGACACTGATCCCTGTAATTCCAGATACTTGGAAGGCTGAAGCAGGAGGATTACAAGTTTGAGGCCAGCCCGGGCAACTTAAGGAAAGCTCATCTAAAAAAATCAAAATAATAGTAATAATAATAATTAATAATAATAATGGGCTGGGATGCAGGTTAGTACTCTCTGAGTTTAATCCCCAGTACTAGAAAAAGTGACTTTTTCCTCTATACTCCCCAAATGTTTTATCTGAACCACACTTTAGTTACTTCAGTCATCCAATTATCCCTTTACTCCTTCGTCCAGAAAACAGGAGCACCTTCTACATGCCTAAGTGCACTAGTTTACCTCATAGCTTTCCATTAATTTCTCTTGCTTATCCTGTTAGACTGACACGCCGGCAGCTGGGAGGGTGCCTCTTTCACCTATGCATATCCCCTGGAAGCTCTAAGCCCAGCAAACCACAGGTACTCCAAAAATAAAATGATTGAAATGAATAGGGAAATTATCATAAGTTTCCTTAAATAGTAAACTGTCGTAAGTGCATGCAAAATCAATTTCAACGATAGATTTAAAACATGATTCAATATTTTTCCAGGAGCATATTAACTATGGCAAGGGAGGTGCATTTATATCCCTTACATGATTCTGGTTCTTCCTCTTCCTGCCTCCCCCCCCCCCCCCCCCCAGCTTATACCCCCACAACGTACCAACCCCCAACACTATGTGGCTTTTATAGGAGCAGCAGTTCTTGGCCCAACCTAATGAAAGAAAGAGTTGATGAAGCCAAGATGTGTTCTAAGACATTCTATTCTACCCCCACAGGCCTCCCACACCGCGCCTACCAAGCTGCATTACCTACTTCACTCCTACCCGCATGTCCCAGACCAGAAAAGCTGGCCGGGTAGAAAAAGCAGGGCCCTAACGCCCAAGCCCACAGCAGGCTGAATGTGGGAGACCTCCCTGGAGGAGACCTGAGGGTGAGGGGAGCCAGGGCAGGTCACTTTCTGCAGACACTGTGACCACCTCCATAGCTTCATCATGAATTGTCAAGGGAAGTACACTCGACCGACTCTACCCGTGTGGGAGGCAAGAGGCTGGATCCAGGTGGAGGGCTGGACCCCGCACTGCCCACCCTCCCGCCAAACGGAGGTCAGGACTCAGGAATGCCCTCGTGCCTGCCATTCCAGTCTCCCTCACCAGCCCCCCCCCAGACCCTGTGCTCTTCACACCCCACTGTCCCTTATCAAGGTCTCCCCGGCTTGGACCGGCTGCCGAGGACAGCTTCCTGGCAAACTCCCGCCAGGGGTCCTGGCTCCCTCCCCTGCTCAATTCAGCCTTGCGCCTTAATGGATTATCCAAGGATCCAGGAAGACTGGCAGCCCAAAGCTTTAAAACGTAAATGCAAATCTGAAGTTTGGGGAGGGATAAGGTTTTAGGAAAAAGTCGACTTCAGAGGGAAAGATTTCCCCGCCGGAACCTTCCCATCTCCCTGGCAGGTGCCAATACCCGACCCGGAGATGCCCTTGCGCTTCGCGCGCCCCCTCCGCTCCTTCGCCCCGCGCACCCCTTCTCCGGGCGGGGAGAGCTAGGCACGAAGAAGCGCGGGAGGACGTTCCCGAGAGAGTACCGAGGCGGGAGTACCTGAATAAACCCACTCTCAGCGGAGGAGGGGACCAGACCACCACCCTGGAATAAGCACTCCTGACCCTGCCATTAACGTCCACGGCAGTGCGTGTCCGGTTGTCCCACTGTCACGATCCCGCCCGGTCCGGCCAGCTGTTCTCCCCACCTTACCTCCGACCGGAGGCAAGAGGAGTTTGTACCACCCAAGCCGGGACCCTGTTCGGGCGCCCCACTCACCGCTTTGCAGGGGCTGGGATTCCCGCGCCCGATTTGGCACTGAACTTTCCCCTGCGCACCCACACGGTCTCGGGGTGCCCAGCTCCCCGCGCCCCGCGCCCACGCGAGCCCGCGTCCGAGCTGCCGCGGGACCGTGGCTTCACCTGCTCGCCGCTCGGCGGAGGCTCCCGCT